TATACTCAAGAATAACTTAGAGAAACAAAAAAAGCTCATTTCAAAGAGTATAGAGTACGATAGTCTGAATTATTTCGTCTCCCTTATATGGATCCAATTAGATTTGCGGTAATAGATTCCATGCACTGCTTGTTCCTTGGAGTTACAAAATGAATTATTTAATCTATATTTATTAAAAAGAATAAATTAAATTCTGAGCAACTTCATATAGTACAAAAAAGGATGGATAACGTTTAACTTCTATCTGATATTGATCAAATTCTTCTAAAGATCATTATTGGAGAAGAATTTTCAAAACTCATCACTAATCAATGAAAGACTTTCATTATGATTTATGTAACAACAATTCTATAGAACATGTTAGATGATAATAATAGAAAGATTTTGAAACATTTTATTCAGGCATGTAACTTATTAATTACTAGATTTGTTACAGAAGACGGTTTGCAAAAAGTACAAGAATGATTAAAGGATATATCTATAAATATAGAAAGAATCTATGGACCTGAATTCATTACAAGTAATATCCATTTATCAATATATATTCTTGAATGCATATGGGATTATAGTTCCATTTATAACTTTTAACTATTTTTATATAAACAATTAAATAGATATATAGATAAACTATAGATATTGGATATATGAATTATAGTAAATAAAATTTTAACACAAATTTTTCATAGGTTCTTATCCCAATAGTAATTAGCAGATCGAACTCGAACTTATGAAAATAGTTTTCAAAAATTTGCTTATGAATTATCATCTTTTTTGTCAATAGACATCTGGTCTCTTAGAAAAGTCTCTTCAATTTCTTGTACCAAAGAAAATTGCTGGTAACTTAGCTGTTACTAATAAATTTGATAGAGAAAAGTTACAGTATTTCATCTTCCTAAGATATGATATATCTAATAAGATCTATGGCACTAAACATATATCAGAACATATGTTAGTACCTATATATAAAAAAATAAATATTCCAGTAGAAGTTCAAAAAAGATTATATAGGTGATATATAATATTATTTAATTTAAAAAAAGATGCAAAGGTATATATAGAAGTGATTATAAATTAACATGTAAGGTTAATAATAGGAAATAAAATATTTAAGTACAAAATTGCAGGCTGATATAAAAATAATATAATAATCTTAGTAAAATAGGAGATCTTTAGAGATAGAACAAGTAATATTTATCCTGAAGAGATATAATATTACTTTGAATATATACTTACCCTTCTGAATAGATCAAGAACATATCTTTTAGCTTATATCAAATGGTACAAAAATATATCTTCCTTTAGTATTTGATTTAAGTATAAATTTATGACACCTGAAGTATCAAATACAGAGTTGTGAAGAAAAGAATACTATAAGAAAGGTATAAGTTTGATTATTACGGTGTATAGAATATATGGTCGAGCCATTAAGATAGACTATTAGGTGAAAAATAAAAATAAGAAAAATTATGTTTCAATAATTCTATTAAATAGAAGATTTAATATTTAATTTATTCTATTTAATAATAATAAAGAAATTATCTAATACAATGAGCATATAAACCTAATTTTCAACAGTATCAGGTACCTGATATGATGTATAAATTTTTATACCAATATATCATTAATAATTTTTTTTTCAAGCACCTGATATTAATGATAATATCATGCACCTGAATAAAATAATTAGAATATCGTTTACTCGATATTACTATTTATTATTATGCACCCAATATTCAAGACAATATTAGGGACCTGAGATAATAATAAAATTTATCTTACACCTATCACTATTATATTAGGTACATGATAAAATTTACAAAATTAATTATCAGGTACTTAGTAATAATCAATCATATCGGATACCTGATATGTTTATTCTTTTCCAATAGATATCTGATAGGTATTCGATATTATAAATATATCAAATATTCAATATTTGAATTTTGACCTATGGAATTTGCTGTATATTTAGGATCTCTATCCTGTTGAAAAATTATATCTTTGATAGCAAATTCTTGAACTTTAATGGTATTTAAAAGATCTTCACAAAGTATTTGTTAATATAATTTGATATTCATCATTCTATTGATTTTACAAAAGTCATTAACACCACGTAACATAAAGCATCCCTATATCATCACAGATCCACCTCCAAATTTTACAGTAAACTTAATATGAAAACAATTTAATGGTTTCTCAGGGTACTTTCAATAATATTGTTTTCCATTAGATTTAAAAACTTTAAATTTTGATTCATTAGATCATATTACTTTTGACCAATTATTTATTATTCAATTTTCATATTTTCATACAAAATCTAGGTGACATTTTTGATGTTTTTTATTCAAATAAGATTTTTTTCTTTTAACTCTTGATACTAACTTATCATTTCAAAGTATATGTTAAATAGTAGATACTGAAATATTAATATTTTCTTGTTTTTGTAAATAGTTTTGAATTTCAATAGAAGAAGAACACTAGCGAGAAGTAATGAGATTTATGATTTTTTTGAGTTGGTTTATTTGTGATAAGTGAATGACCTGACTTTGACAAGTTTTCAACAGAATAATTTTCAAGCCATCTTTTTTTAATTTGAGAAATCATAAATGGATTTATATACCATGCTCTTGATATTTCCCTTGTGTATCCTTTTTGTAATGAAAGAAGAATTTGAATTCTTTCTTTAAGAGTTGTATGACACTTTTGTGTTATAACTTGTTTACTAAGGAGTTGCAACATGGTACAAAAACAAAATAAACAATAAAATTTACTTTTTATGTGATATTTATATAATACAATAATTACCATCTGGTTCTTGTCAAAAATGATCAAAAGTAACGTAACACATATTTTGTATTACTTAACTGGTTATTTTGGAACTGGTAGCAATAGTAATTATTAAGATTTTACTATCATAAACTGACACTATTAACAGATAATAAAACAAAACAAAAAAAAAAAATTTCTGGGATTGTTCGAAACAGTTCGATTGAACAAAATTTTTTTTTGTTGCATTACAAATGATCGCCATTGTAGATCTCGTTATTTAAGAATAAGTATTATATTCCATCTGCTGTAATTTATTACTCTATTAGGAGACCTGTAAGAAAATAAATATTATAAACATTACTTATTAAACTTTAATCAATCTACATATACAACAATGAATTTCAATTAAGGAATACAAATGCAAGTTACCGATTATTGTAAGAATTTTGGTGACAGTTATACAATCTGGAAGAGAGTTGAGAAAAGCGAGAAGTTAGAACTTTCTTGACTAGTTATAAACATTCTTAGTTAAAGTACTCAAATGGATAAGCCAAAACATACCTTTTTGATATTTGGCACATATAATCTCTTGTTCAGTATAAGGGATATCTGAAGATATGTCTAAAAGTATTTAGAAACTTAAAAATACTTAGTTTTGCATACAAATATAGTATTGTGCTGTCGAGGAAGAAGATATAAGTTAAGTTTTTTGTTGAGACACCATGATTATTATGTTAAAAAAAAAAAAGTTTTTGCCAAGACACATTTTTTAGCACCACGTTATACTTCGAGAAATATTACTCAGCAAAAACTGAGATTTTATTAAACATGAGATAGAGGAAATTGATTGGTCAAAATTTATATCAATTGTTAAAAACGGTATTCATCCATAAAAGAAAAATTTTCACTGGCAGTGAGAATTACTGACGGTGAGCTTTAGCAATACTCTTAATAATTTATTAAGTTTAGGAAATAATATAGTGAATAAATATAGAATGATATATATATGAATATGATCTTATTCTACTTACTTTTGTATGATCTTGAGAAACTTCATAAGCTTCTTGAGATCATTTTCCACACGGAAAAAGCTTGAAGTACTTAATATGTGAGATCTTTTCAGAGTTTCCTTGGACATGGTTTACATGGCAGACAATAGTAAAAGATGTGATAGATATTATAGCATTACATATATTATCTTTTTTGTTGAAGAAGAATTCAAACACTTCATTCCTTTTTTAATATAGATGATGATGGTGTAATAATAATAATAGCAATAGTGGTGATTACTTTTTTTTTTAATTTCACTTGTTAAATTTCATAGATTCGTATAAAATTTGTAACTAGGAAACGTGATTCAGTATTTCACAAAATGAGAGATCTTTTACAATCATTACAATAAGCATAATTGGACAAAAAAAAGAGAGAGATGGCTAAATACAAGAATATATCAAGTGTAAGCTTTATCTCGTAAAGGAAAGTGCATAACCGATCCCTCCTCTAGAATCAGTAGACCTTTATAAAAAAAACCTACTCCATGCATCAAATTCAGATAATTGCGACCCACCCCCCATTAAGATGAATCTAACAGGAACAAAAACCCTGAATAAGAGTTATATTTATTATCTTATTATAACTTACTTTTTTTAAGATTTTGACCAAAATCACAAAACTTCTTGGGATCAACTTTTCACATGGAAAAAGCTCGAAGTACTTAGTATGTGGGATCTTTTCAGAGTTTCCTGGTATCGTAGCAGACAATAACAGAAGACAATAGATCTTTATAGTAATTATGTATTTAGAGGGTGTATGTGCAAGATCACGAAAGGTTTTAGTCGGTTGTTAATTGATTAAAATAATTAACTTGTAATTGTTTTTATTTAATAAAATAATTAACTTGTAATCGAATCATTTTTATTCGAATCTTAACTTGTAATTGCTTTTATTATTATCTTTATATCGAAAACAGATGGAATCTTTTTCTAAACTGGGATATTGACATGGTTGAGTTATTAGGTTTATTTAATAAATTGTGTTCAAAGATTATCAAAACGTTTGCCCACTATATTATTTTTTGGCAAAGGAAAAACTTTAGGTCTGTTTTTAATCCTCTATAATCTATATCAATATCTATTTCGAAATCGATTACCATATCTATTCCAGAAGCCCGCCCTCCTCTCTTAGAATCAAAGTCCTTTATATATTAAAAAATTAGTCTGATTCACATGATCATGAACGTGCTCGCTGAAGGCGTGACTTTGGACGAGTGTGAACTTCGCACCGACAAGTTTAACGTTCATGCTTTATGGGAATGGACAAATTATAAAGTCTCGGTTTATGAACTTCCATTAGAGCCACACGAAACTTGTATTGGCGCGATTTTAAGTGAATTTCATGAATGCTGTAGAGAGGTTAACTATACTGATGCCAGTATAATAAACTTAGGTGCAACTCGTAAGCATCAATTAATTAACTTTCTCAGTCCTATTTCATGGTATCAAAGTAATTTTCTTTCTTTAAAGGAACTCGTGTTGATCGTTCTGGAAAAGGGGCTGACGCATCATTTCGTCCAATGAAACCAAGAGTGCCTGCACCAACCGGAAGTGATGGAAATGTATCTTTTGTTTTTTCTATTGGTTTTGAGCCCTTTAACATTAAGTTTTACATTTTCATGATTTTAGAGAAAATCATGGCCAAATATTATTGTGGAAGTCGCATATATTGAAAGTATAGAATACGTATTCGATAAGGTCAGAAATTACTGGCTAAAGGATCTTAGTCGCGCACATGACGCGATAGTTGTTAAAATCGATCCGATTTCTGACCTTCACGCATGCAAGTAAGTTTTACTTCTGAAAATGTAAGTGATGTTTTATTGCTTGTGTATCATTCTAAAAAATAAACCCATGCAGGCGTGGCACTTTTGCTCCACAGATAGAAGAACACGAAATGGACCAATTCAACACCGAACTCATGTAATGTCGAATATAAGATAAATCATCTTTTATTTCTACCGATTTTTAATATGGATGGTTTTATTTTTATTATTAGTTTGAGTTTGGCACTCATGATGGTGCCGGGGATCCGTTGAATATTTTGCAGGGTACATGCCTCATCAAAATTGATTTGGATTGTCTCTACCATCAAGCACATCCTGATGTCCGAATTCCACGAACTATTCTTCCCGATTCCATTGTACTGGATTTCTTCTTTGTCAGAGATGAAATTCTCTGTGCATATAGAGTTTAAGAAAATAATAATTATTGTGTAGAATGCACGTGCAATAAAAAATGAATTGGGTCATAATTTATCTGAATATTATCATAACAAAATGTTAACAAATTAAGTTAAATTCAGAATAATAAATAAAAAATTGTTAGTTTTGCCCGAATTTTTTTATCTCTTGTGCATGTATATATCAGAAAAACAAGAGATATATTTAACAATGTGTTAGTGTAACTGGCATTATGTGTATATACAATGATCACGGAACATTTAAAGTTTTAAGTTTACTCAATAAGACCCAATTCTCGAAGATGTCCGTAATACCAAACATATCTTAAAAACGATCCAGTTTTCTTCACAATTCTTTCTTGAGTTGATCCCGTGCTTGATGTTTGATAAATTATTGGAATCACTTTATGAAAGAATATGTGATATGTGATATTTTTCATGCTGAAGACCGTGAACTTCAATTGCAAACCCATATTTATAATAAGTTCTAATCCGTTCGGATTTCAGAAGTTTTTAAAAATGCTGTTCTACAATTTGCTGAAGGAAACCTAAGATATTTTGACAATATTTCTCGACATAAATTTTATCTAATAATAACATCACCGATCACAACAAACACGTGTATTTTGATCATTAAAATTTCAGATTTGCTTTCGATAAAAATATATTTTTTTTATTACATAAAAAAAAAGTGTGATGAGAATGTCAATCACTAATATAGGTCCAACGAATAAATTTTTTGGTTTTTTGTTTTCCTGTGAATGATTCCCAAATAATATTAACTAAATACAAGCAAAAAAAAAGAGAGAGAAATAATAATAATAAATGAGATGACAACAAATACAAACAAATTTTGAATATTCAAAAAAAGAGAAAAAATTAAAAAGAAAATATTCCGCAGCATACAGAATTTCTAAATAATTTCAACGATCTAATTTTCTTTTAAAAAAATATAAACACCAAAACCTACGTCGATTACGATGCCACTGTAATAATAAAATAATTATCAAATAGAATTAATAAGTTATCACTGAGAAGGAAGGAAACCCCTTTGAAGAAAAACTTACTGTAATTGTTAATTTCTAATTCGTCCGGAAGAGGGGTGATGTTCACTTCAAACCGCTCTTGAACTTTGTTTAAGATTTCGGCATCCTCAGCATTTGATACAAAAGTAATAGCAGCACCTTTAGTACCAAATCTACCGGCACGACCAACCTAAAGATTTTTTTATTTTATTTTATTTAGAATTAAGATTTAAAAAAAAAATATACGAAATATACGAAGAAATTTATAGAGAAATATATTCGGAAAAAGGTATATAATAGAATCGAAAATAATTATTCTTACCCTGTGTAAATATGTATCTGGACCGTCGGGCATATCATAATTGACAACGATATTTACACGTTCGATATCAATACCACGACCAAAGACATCTGTGGCAACCATTATCCGTTTCTGGAAATCTTTAAAAGCCTTATATCTGGCAATTCTACAAAAGGATGCATCAAAAAATGTGATTATTAAATATATATATGAAGTAATGATAATGCAAAAAAATAATGATGCGAAAAATATTGATACAAAATAATGTGAAAATTATTTTGATTCTATTTATCATACCTATCACTTTGACTCATACCACCGTGAATACAAATACTAGGAAAATTACAATCACAAAGTAATTTATTCAATTCGTTTGCTCGCGTAACGGATTTAACGAAAATGCAAACTTGATTAAATTCGAGTGTATCCAAGAGATCATTTAATTTTCGATTCTTTGCGGATTCATTCAATTTGAGGAAATATTGTTGAAGACCATGTAATGTGAGCTTCGTTTCGTCATCAACATAAATTTCTAGAGGCTATTAAAAATATAAGGATTTATTTACAAAAAATAAAAAAAAATAGAAAATAAAAATAAACATAAAAATATATAAATCATAAAATATATACACGCACACACACATATATATATTAATGAACTTACATTCTGCATAAATTTTTTGCATATCGGTCGAATATCTTTACTAAGAGTGGCACTAAACATCATAACTTGTTTATTATGAGGAGTCTTCCTGAAAATTGCTTGAACATCACGTCTCATGTCTACATATTTTTTTTTTTGATCGAATAAATAGTTAGGAATTTTTTAAAAGTAATTAAATTTAAATAAAATATTTTTGTTTGATCAGATAATTTTTATTCTCATTAGGCTTTTTTTTAGCCTTAGACGAGCTGGGTTAAAGAAAATAAAGTTTCATCATGTAAAAAAAAAAAAAAAAAAAAAAAAAAAAAAAAAAAAAAAAAAAAAAAAAAAAAAAAAAAAAAAAAAAAAAAAAAAA